CCACGCCCCACGCTTTGATCGCACTCAAATCAAACTTGATTTGCCCCTCTGCACACATACTTGTATAATAGATTTGCCTACGATGTAGAAAATTTTCCCTCACTAATTAGATGCGCAAATGCTCTCGAGTACAGATGAGCTTTGCTGAAATTCCGCACTAAATTCTTGTTGATGTTTGCAAACATCTGACGAGGAAACCCCGCGAAACTAGTTTTGACTTCAACTGAAATGAGGTGATCAGCATACCTGAGTATAGTATATACATGAGCAGCTTGAACGTGGACTGTCCCAAAACTATCTAAATGCCGATTGTTGTTTGCTGAGACGAATGGCTGTGGTAGAAGATATCTATCTGTTAAGTATTAAGTTTAATTCTTAATAAACCCTTAACTTATTGGGTATAATCGATAGTGAATTTGTAAACATTTTCTAATATTTTTATGAGATACCTTCTCACCTCAAGTAAAAACAAGGTGACCCAAATAAGGTGGATCGTATTAAAAATGGGAAAGCAAAAAGTGTTATTGGTATCAATCAATGATTTAATTTAATGCAGGAGTATTATGTGTGTATTATACACAGTTAATATAGTATACCTTAGTAATGTCCGTCTGTATGAACACAAGGATATCCGAAAGTACTCATAGTAGAAGAGTTACCAAATAACCAAACTTGATATTCAGGTGTTTACTTTTGAGTATTTAATTCCATATTTTAAAGAACTTAATGATTCAGGGAATTTAAACGAAAAGGGAGAACTATTTATTTGGTCACAACAAATATTTATTTGCCAAACATTCAAGTACTTTTCGGATTAACCTCGCATGTCTATGTGACGCACGCGCCTATTCTCGCTTCTATGTCGGATTATATCTTATTGATTCTCTGTAATGAAGCTGTGATTCACAAAACGAGCTGAAGGCTCTTGCCTAATTGGATTGAGTCTCAATTTCTGCTCAGATTATAAGCAGAAGGCTGGCCGACGGCTTGCGGTTCCATTTGTTTTTCCGATCTTTTGTAGAGGTACATATAGTACGTACTCGTACATACATACATGTGTACATATATACATTTGTAAAGTATATTGCATTGACGTCAATTTTGAGTTTTGTTTTTGGCTCGATCGGGCCTCACTGACCATATTTATTTACGTAGGTGTGCCTCAGCAGTGGCTGCTTTTAGTTATTATTTTGGCTGCAGTTATTGTTGTTATCGTTATTGTTGGAGTTGTTGTAGCGCTTATTTGCTTAGCTGTGTGTTTGTTTGCAACACAAAGTTAAACAGACCCAACTCCATTTGTTATTGTTGATTATTTTAAACTCAATTCTGAAGGAGGAAGCGCATGTCTTCAATCGAGAGTGTGTGCGTGTGCGTGTGTAGTATTTGCTGAGTGTGTTGCTGTATTTATAGCTCAAACGGTTAACTTAAAGACGAGGCTGGTATAATCAGTATCACTTGCGAAAACCGCTGGATCTTAGTTGTAAATGTCTTAAAAACTTGATCAAATCGAAGCGATCTTGCCATATTAGTTTGTTTTCATACAAGACGAAATATATGTACCAGTTGTTATATGATATACTTGTATTATGTATATATATATGTATATATAAATTGGTAGTGAACAAGAATTTTCAGTTATGACACAGAAATTAGAATTAGAAAGATCTTATGTACGAGTATATTCCCAGCTTAGACTAGGCCCACCTTGAAGCTATGGCCAGAAGAGACTAGACTCCAACACTACATGAGTAATACACGATCTTATTATTATAGATTAATCATTATTTGAATGGATTTTTTATGGGACATTCAATGTTCAATTTTACAATTAAATATAATTTGTCTTGAAACCACCCTACGGTACTTATTAACTGACCGCTTAATGAGTTTTTAAAAGGTGTGTAAAATTATTATTGCCTTCTGTACAAATATTGTTTTACTTTAGACGTGCTTAGTTATTTTCGTACTTACAAACATAAGTATATACATTCAATACATATATACACACAAATTCTATACTTTGTCTGACGCAATCCGATCAGGTGCTTGCGATCGACCTTCTCGGATGGCATTACCCCCGGGTGTTGGGAATATTTTCCCAACATTAGCGCCCTTTCGTGTGGCCAGTGTCCAGTGGGGGTGCAAAAACCGCTGATAGGGTCAGTCGCTCGTTTGGGTTCTATATATAAACTGCGTCTCGGCAAAGTTGAATGTCAAATGAATGCGCACATACATATTTAAATGTATGTATGTATGTAGAATAGATATGTATGTATGTACATATATGTATCTGTGCTATGTTCTGCATTTGCTTTTGAAATAAACATAAATTGTTTATTATAGTTTATAGCTGTCACCGTGGCCGCCGCTGCTCCGCTGTCTGTAGCTGTAGTTGGACATTGGTGCTGCTGAATTGCATTAATTTTACGCTGCTTGCCCGGTTGATCGTTGTCTGGGTCGTTTATTTATTCACATTGGGAGCTGCTCCGTTTTTGAAAAGTTTGCGAAATTCGATCGCCTGTAAGCGACGCGCGACTTGATACAAGCTTGCAACGTGCGGCCGATATACTATATACATACTCGTACATAAATAAATATAAATTCAATTTTCAAGCAGTTAAACTTTTTTTTAGGGAATGCTGTCTTTGGTATATAAGTTTGTAACACCCGTAGAGATCACCTTGACGGAAGTAAGGTGGACGGTCCGTCCGTTTCCATAAAAATTCGGAGAAAGCGTAGCGTCAAAACATGGCTCAAAGGCTTCTTTGAGATGGTCACAAATCGAATTTATAACTAAACTGTAGGACTCGTGGCTCGCGAAGGGTGACTATACAGTCTATAGTAAGTATAAAGTGTTTTCGAATGAAGGACACAATAGTCATTTGTGTGGAAAGATCACGAAGGAATAAGGCGCAGTGTAGGCTATATTGCTTCGACGCAGACAAATATAAATTCTTAGTGAATTTTGTATACATTTCAAAAGATGCGGATTCGAATTTTGTTGATATTTTCATTAAAAGCTTATAGTACTTTTTTTTAACGAGCTACATTATTAACAAAGGCATATAAATTTCTTTTTAGAAATAATAAATAGACCAAATTTGTAATTTGAGTTTTGCTTTTAGGTTTTACATGTATTTGAGTTCATACATATACATACATACATGTACATACATACATACATAAGTAATAAATCAATACAAATTAAATATCACTTGAACACTTTTGAACAGTGATTTTCCCGAAAGCATTAATTTAATCGTGAACTTAAGGGTTCCGTCGCAATGCCGGACGAATGATTGAGTCCAAAGAAGCTTCGAGTGGGAATAATGATTTAGTTTTTAAATACATTATGTGAAACGATTTTGAAGTCACAGACACTTTCAGACATCCTGTAGGATGGAATGCCAATAGACCCAGATTAATTCAGAAGGGTCAGTCGCTAAGCGCGCTAATTATTTATTTATACATCTACATACATATATACGATCACATATGTAGGTATTATTATTATGTGCATACGTATAGAAAGCCAAATGGTTACACTTGTACGGTTTTTTATTTGCACTTTTTGCGTACCTTTGTACTTTACAGACACCTTAAAGTGGAAAATTTTTTCCTATTAACATTTTTAGCAACGGCAATTTCCATTTCGCGTTCACGTTTTGCATTTGCAAATGAGCCCCACAGACCCCAAAAGTCGGACAGAGACGCCATGGTTCACCTTGAAAATTGTGTGTATGGCAAATTTACCGTTTCCGTTTTTTAAAGTTAACGGTTACAGTTTGTTTTTTTTTAGAATGCGTGACAGCTGCTACTTCTGTTGCAGTTGTCTTTGGGTCTGGTGATTGCTGTTGTTTTTGTTCACAAATATGTACAAATATATACATATGTATGTACATATGGATGTTTCTTTATATGCAGACGTATATTTATACTAATACTATTCCCAAGAAATTTTTCCATTGATAAGATTATATGCAGTGATAATGCTTACAAAGTACACACACACACATATGTATGTATGTACTTGTATTCGTCGATTGCTTGTCAAATCATAAACCGTGAATATTTGAATGTGACGGTGCTTACCTGTTTAACCTGGGAAAGCACTTGCCTGTCCGAACGCCCCTACGGTCGAACTGGCTGCCTTCCTTCCTGTTTTCTGCCTGTGGTTTTGAGCAGCAGCTACCTGGGTTACAACCACAAGGCAGCAAAAACAATTTGTTATTTAAATGAATCAACTTGTACTGTTGCTGCAGTTGTTGTTGTTACTTTTTTACCATTGCTTTACCATTCGGTGGCTCACTGTCACATTCGCACACTTGTTGTGTTGTCAAAATAGCCTACGTCAACAACCTTAAACGTTAGTCAATGCACTAGTTCAACGCGGCGTATACGTTACAAACATATACATATATGTATGTTTGTATGTACATACGTACAAATATACATATGAGTGTCTGTTTGCTACTCAATATTTTTGTATGGTCGTAAATTTTTTTGACCGTTAAATATGGACACACGCTCTCAGTCATTCCGCCACTCTCACAAGACGCACTCACTCTTCAATAAACCGCTATCTGTCAGCTGCTGCCTGTCTGTTGCCAACTACCGCAATATCGGCCAACACTTACTTTGTTTTTGTGCTGAGCTTTAATTTAATCCCAACAAAAATTTATATGCGCCTTTACACATACGTGGACGTGTATGTGCGCATGTATGTGTGAGAGCGTGTGTAAATTGTAAATTTTGAGTTGAAAAGTTCGTTATCATTTCGCTTTGTCAGCCATTGGCGCCGCGTGCTCTTCACACATGACGGCAGAAATATCAGTCAGCCATCGTTTGATATTTGTTGGTTCGCTCACTCGCTCACTTGTTCGCTTACTCATTCGTATGTTCGTTCACTCACTCATTTATGCCGAACGGCGTGTTGTTGCTGTTGCCATTGCTATTGAGTCGGTCGCTATAAAAGGCCTGCGACTGCAGCGCCTTCATTTCAGTCTTTAAATTTGTGTCGTCGTGTATGCCACTTGGTCTTTTGGCTTTCAGTTAAAAATATTCAGTTTGTTAACGAAATAACAACAAATCAAACGGAGCCCAACTATAAAAGTGCGCTGCAACGCTGTACAATAAATACAAAACAACAATTACCACGGAAACAACAAACCGATTTCATATTGTTGTTAAACAATTGTTTCGCAATAATTCAAGTTAATTGTAACTTTCGTTAATTAACTGTCGCTGTACGCGTGTGAAAAGTTAATCAACAATACAAACTTAAAACCTTATTAAAGGCAATTATAAAAAGCAATTCCATTGTGTCGCTCTCCTGCTTACATATATGCAAGGTCAAAAATATCATTGAAAAATCTGAATTTGGATTATTAATAGCTCGAAAAAATATATGCACATATAATTTGCGCTATTACAAATCTACAAATTTCGAACAACAACAATCACAAATGTAAGTATTTCCGTGCCCAAAAACATGTTTTCCTATTTCTAGTTCCCGCGCTACTTTTTTCTATTAGATGTGTCGATGTTTTTATTTTAGTCGTCCGTGGCGTGCTATAAAATAGACAAATATACATAAAGTACATACATTTATATGTACATGCATTGTATGTGGAATTGTATATAGGATTTGTGGTTGTGAGTGCCATTCTATAAATAAACCTATGTGGTGCTGTACATAAAACTCAATTAAATGCAACTACTGCGTCTACATTCCTCCTGCTTAGTACAGTAAAAATTGCAGCAGAACTACTGCTGCTGCTCTGAGATGAAGGAACTGCTGTAGAAAGCTAAAGCCTTCAATTAATTGTCCCAATAATAAATAGTCTTATCAATCTTCTTAACACATAAAATATTCACCTTAAATGATTGGCTAAGAAACAACACATTTTTGCTTCGAAAAGAAAACAGAATAGGTTTTACTAAAAAATATGGAAACAATGTTACATTTATTTTATATATGGGATATCTGAATGCTTCCCAGAAAGAAACAAGATTGTTGAGGGTTCCAAAAAAATCAAAAGTCTTTGTACAGGATCTATTAATTAATCCCCTCAAGCTATGGATTTTGCGGCCTTGCTGATAATGAAAAGTTACGCTTCAAGTTCAAACCACTATATGCATATTCCCCTTCAATTTTAGTGTTTCTCCTCAGCTATTTCTACTGTAAAATGAATGCCGTAGAGAGCTCTTATTATTGCTGACATTGCCTTACATACATACATATGTACATATACTACAAGTAGCTAGTAGTTGTTGTTGCATGTTATAAGCAAATTACGGCAATCTGTTGTAGTTGTTGTACAACTTGTCAGTTTTTGTCAGGCGACACAACAGACAGCCTAGCGTATAAAGCAGCTTCTCTGGCATCCAACCTCGCCCCAACTTGCATTACAATGCTGCGCATATTTTCTGCCACAACACACCGCCACCCCTGCTTGCCACCTTGCCCTGACAAACATGTTGCACAGTCGAACAAATAATTCGCACATCTCTTAATAACGTATTATGTATATACTTTTATATCGGAAGCTAAGAATAGATGCGTTGATCGCGCCTCACAACAACGCAGCAGGCAAACAAGTCAAAACAAAGGCAGGAAAAATTTTTTTTTTTGAATTAAATATAAATATAAACTACGTCGATTGACGCGTTGTTCGCAGTCATGTGTTTCTTCGCAAAAGTTCCGAAATAAAATTTGCAATGCTGCCAAAATCGACGTAACGACAAGCGACGCGTGTTGAAGACTGTCGTCTGCACAGTATGTCTGTATGTCTGTCTGTATGTCTGACGACTTATAGTGCATATATCATAAGTTGTTTCAGCAGCAACCAAATGTCCCGAAAATTGCAAATTTAAAATTATTGCCAAAGATTATGTTTGTTTTTGTTGGGGCTAGCAAATGGCAACAACACTAGCAATTAGAAGCCCGCACAAGCAGGCAGTTAAACATTTTGCACATTTCCAAATAACTTGCATATTCATAATTTCTTTTATTGTGTTTATCTTGAAACGACGAACCAACGTAATTGTGTGTTCGAGTGTGTATGACGCACACAGATGGCGTTACGTTTTTGGCGGTGTTAACCGGATTTTGAATGGGGGGGTCTTTCCCGCCGCTCTGCTCCCACTGCTAACTGCTCTTACAAAGAATTCCATTTGTGGCCGAGTTAATTTCTTGCTGCTCGTTTCTTTTCATTATTATTATTTCACGTGTATGGCTTTGGGTCTTTTATATTGCCAATACCAAGAAGCTGCGTTTGGTCATTCACATTGACGTGATTGGTGGTACAGTTGTGCTCATTGATTTTAAGTTTACACAGCCGTGGACTGTCTGTCATGCAGTTTGACATTTAAAGCCCACACACGCACGCGCACGCGCACACCTGCACAAAACAACGAAAGCAACAAGTGTACAGCTCGTTAACCTTCGCCCGACTATTTACCTCCTCAGGCTTCAAGTACGACAAACAATAACATACACAAGCAACAAAGTTCGAGCTGATACTCGAACTCAACTTGTAGCTTTACATTTTTTCCTTTTCTGTGTTATAACATTTTGTGAATAATCCATATATTTCTCTCCTATATTTGCAGTACCCGCAGCAGCCAGTATGTCGATCGCTAGTGTTCATGGTCCCCAAATCGCCGACATCTGCAGTCCATTGGCGTAAGTAGCTCCTCAAATATGTACAAATAGTGTCAATAACAAGCCCATTCCACATGACAAAAGCACGCAGCTGTGAAATGATTTCTCCAATTGCGATCATTCAATCATTATATTCGCCATATATAAATAAGATAGTGAATCGTTGCTTTGGGAAATACGCTCGACACACTCACGATTATATTATAATAGAAAGTGGAATCAGGAACTCTGAATAGCTAATATATAAACTCTTCAGATTACACTACATAGTCTTCGATCAGCGATCATCGATCAATGAACAAAGTGCGCCGCTTTAAACTGATAATATTATATGATATAATAATCAGTTAGTTGATCAGTTAGTTGCTCATTGAATGATTCAATCGGCCTATTCACATTTATACTATACTGCAAATAAACGGGTTATGAAGATGATGGCGAAGGTTGAATCAATTCGCGACTTTCCATGAATACCTCAAATCAAAATGTCTAAATCCGATTACTCACTCGAGCGCCATGTGAATCATTAGCTAATTAATATTGATATATACAAATACAGTCGATAGCGCCGTTTCCGTTTTTGTGAATGGCAGCAGCCGAGCGAGCACATTCGAGTATTTCTGTTGCTGCTGTTGTTGTTTTCGTTATTTTTCCTTGTAAACAAAGTCAGGGCCAGTGACTATAGTTAGTTCTCAGTAGTCATAGTCGGACGGACTATCGAAGAAAGTAATACTTGTATGTAAAATATTTGTCGGGCTAGGTTCATTCATGATTTGACAATCTTATCTCTACCGATTACTTGACTGCGGCATATGGTGCAGAGTACAACAAAAAATACACATACATACACATGCATATGCGTATAAGTATTTGGCCAGACGACCGACCCATTAAACGGCGACAATGGGAATGTGGAACCAACAGCTGCATTGAGGCTATCACTTCTGATAACTTGGGCGGTGTGGTTCCTCTCGCCCCCGAAAACCCAAAATAAATAAATGGCCGTAAAAACGCGCGACAGCCGAACGGGGAGGGAGATAAGCAGAGAAGAGAGAGGGAGAGGGAGAGAGAGACGAGTCGCTCACATGATCGGGCGAAAGCGGCATTGTCATTAGCTTAGTCGGTCGGTACAGTCGCCGTAGTCGTGGTCGGTGTCGGCGCTGATGTCGTCGCTGTGTGCTTTGGCTCATTATCATAATCGTAATCATGCCGCACGTCCAAAACCCACCCGTCCTGCCTCCAGCCGCCCCAACAAGGTCACGGCTGTGTGATTTTCATTTGTCACTGTGATTTTTTTAATTTTATGTGGGTTTTTGTTTTCATTTGGATTTTCTGATACTCATTCTATTCCCACTAATTTCTTGCAGTCACCACAGCCTGGGCCTGTCCGCCTCTTTGCCCGATCTCGTCGGCAGTTCGTTGGAAATTAATATGGACAATGTGCTAACTATTGAAGAGCTGCGTCAGCATATGGGCTCTTGCTTCACGTGTGGCGTCTCCTGGACCGATGATCATGTCTCCCTGGATTGCAGTGAGTGCGGCGGCTATAGCCTGGAGCGCCCCTGCCCTCTGTGTGATGGTCAGTGTGGTGTGCAGTGGAAACGCGATTTTGCCATGGTGAGTGTTCCTCAGACAGCAGACCTAGGAATCAAAGATCAAGACGTTCATGTAGCATAGCAAAGGCTATCCTTATCGTAATAGACACAACACTACTATTACATTCTAATCTTGCTTATCTCCTCCTAGTAACTTACACTGCTTTCCATTTAGTTTGCTGATGAAATTCATTGCTGTAAAAAATAAGTCTCGAAAATGAAATGTTAACGAATATTACTTTATTAGTCTTTATTTGTTTTTGATAGCATCGATTTGATTATAACAATTATTTGAGGATTATTTATTTTGAGAAACGTACGAGATAATAACATAATTACGAGGCACACATGATTTTACAGTTCGTTAGAACCGCTGTCCATATGTCTTTCAAAGTCCTAACCGTTAAAAGCTTGCAATGCAAAGAGAAGTCTAAATATTTACTTAGCTATTTACTTTAAACAGCGTTAATGAAGAGAGTAATAGGGCTCTAAAGTAAATTCACGAGAGGTACCTAAAACATGCAAACAATGTGTGCTATTTGAATGAAGACATTCAAAGACGTCTTGAATTTTTGATAAACTAAAATTTGAATTTAAATGTTTCGACTTATAAATAACTCCGACTCTTTTCTCTTCTTGCAGTCCCATGCCTGCAGCAAAGCCCGTTGGGTTGGCGTGTGCATGAGCTATCCGGAAGCGGCGACTGCCGTGCAGTTGCCTGTTGCGACGGCCACTGCGGCCACATCGTGTGCAGCGGCCGCAGCACATCAACTGCGTCTGGCCCAGGAGCTGTGCTCTCGTCTGGAGCAGCTGTCGACGTCTTCCACGACGGGTGTGAACAAAAGCACGCGCATTTAAAACGTCGCAGAGCGGACGGAAACAGCACGGATGGAGAAGGATGAACGTCTGGGCGGGGCATTTGGGGAATACAGTTCAGTTCAGTTCCTTTGGCAGCAAAAACTGCAACTGCTGCACACATTCGCATACACATACGCATACGGAAACACACTCTCACACGCATTAATTTTATTTTATGAAACTCTGCATTAGCCGCTGATATTTTTATGGGCAGCACTCATATCCACACTTACACTCACACACATATACATATATAAGTAATGTTAGTGCTTAATTGCTAAGCCTTTTAGTTGATAGTTTTTATTGTTGTGTCGTTTAATTTCTCACTCTCTTGTGTCTATGCAAATTCATCTTTATTATTTAATGATGTTTTCTCTCGTTGTTATACCATATGGCACATTTTAATTTGCGCGTGGCAGCAACAGCACATGATGTTGATATGATAATGGTAATGATAATGATTTTTTTCTATAAACAAAAACACAAAGAAAACTTGAAAAGAAAACAAAACAAAACAAACCAACAACAAAATGAAAGAAAGAAAAGACTACTCTCGGCTTAAACTTAAGACAGGTTTAAGCATAGCAGTGATAACGGTGATATTAGTCAGAGAAAAATCGTAAACAAATTGTGAATTTAAAAACGTAGCAAAAGTGAAAGTAGAACACTAACAATGACACTGCATATGTACAGTCATAGTATATACATATACTCCTACATACTTACATACGTACGTATGGTCTGTATGTGTGTAGATGAAGTAGCTATGTAGCGGATATTGTTCAGATATAGCTGTTGCCTTTTGTCTTTTGTCAATACATATATATTAGCATCATAGATCGATTGTGTATACTCTTTGTGCTCCATGCGAAATCGAAAATGGAAAAACAAAAAAAAAAATAATGAATGTTTATGTACTTATCCAAGAATCTTCCAAACAGAAAACAAAACACATAATGCTCAACATAGGTTTTATGTGCGATTGTATGTATGTTTTTGGAGTCAGTTACACGAAAATGAAATTGTGAAGAAGAAACGCACAAAAAAGAACAACATCTAACAACAAAAATTTAATACATAAATCCAATTAGAAGGCATTAATTACTCAAGAAGTTGAAGATTTTCTGTGAAAATCCATATGACATAGAAGAGTTTATACTTGTATACCCGTATATAGAACCACATACATATGTATACATAAATATATTAATATATATATATACCTAAATAGATATATTTTGAATGTAGAGATATGTTTTTCTATATAATGTAAAAGACGAAAGCATATTTTTAAAATTAAAATAAATTTAAATGGAAATCAATGGAAAATGAGTTTAAATATTAAATCGGAGCAGAATTTTCAATCGCTTTGGAGGTTGAAAACAACATAAATTTATTAAAATGTATTTTTCCTCAAAGCTGTTTTAAGAACTGCCATTCAGCCCACAAAGTACAGACTGTTAAGTGCTAACAGCGCACTGTTAAGTTTACAGCACTTTCGAAGGCGCAAAACAGCAGCAGAAAGACCGACTCCGACTCCTACAGCTACGACGTCGCTGCTGAGTATACCAAGAGGGTGCATTCAAGGAGATCATGCTGCTGGCAGCTGTGAAGGATCAGTAAAGGATATGCGTCACAATACTTTGAAGAACTATCTTATGTACATATAAACCTGTATGATTGGCAGTCGCTTGAGATATATCAGGCATATGCGCCTGCAGCTCGGCCAACAATTCCGTCAGCTCCTGCACATCCTTACTAATGCTACACAGCTCCTCTTGTTGAAAATCTGGATTGATATGCTTGCAGAGCAGAATCTGACTGATTACATTGCCTAGATTTGACGGACCAGTGCGCGTTTGTGCTGAAAAATTCGAAAAAAAAAATTGGCAATGAAAATGTATAGATAAAAAACTGCCAATTATTTGGCACCACCTACTAAACAACTGAATAAAATTAGTTTTCTAGAAGAGGATAGTGGTGTATTGACGAAGGAGAAGTGAGATAACAAGCTCTATTCTTCTATCTAAAGGCGCAGCTGTGATATGAGCTTCGAACATGAAGCCTAATAATCCTTTAATTGTAGGTTTAACTAATGAAAAGGAGAAGAAATTCGTACGCCTACACCTTTATGTGGTTAACTATACATCCACTACGTCTAGAAGATAAAGGCCTTCTGTAAAACTGTATATGGATGAAAACGCAGAGCAGCTTTTAAGGGGTAATATATTATTAGCTCGAAAAAAAGATGAAATGTTAAAATCTAAAAAAACACGCTTCAACAAAATTTCACAAAATGATGAATGCATTGTTTTGTTTTGTATTTATTGTTAGCGCATGAAGCTAAATTTTATTTGGAATTTGATTTTTCCAAGCCACCCAAGACTCACGCGATTTTTTTGGCTTTTAACAAATCTTTGCTTTTTTGATGTAACCTTAAAGACGGATGTATGTTTATAGTCGTATGTGCTGTTTGGTAAGAATTGTTTTTTTCTTCTCACATACAAATAGGTTAAACTAAGAAACTAGTTTAATAATAATAAGAATTGTTATATACATACTTATGTATGTAAGTAAATAAGGAAAACCTTTAATATTTCCCCTGAATGTGTGCTACCATTTCCTTAAAGTAATAACTTATTCTCTTCGCACATGCAGGAAAAAGAAACAATCAAGCATTTAGAAACAACGAAACCACGCACACACATAAGCATTTGCAGTTGATATTAAATATATAAGGCGTTAATTCTTTGGATGCAGGCTATTAAAAGGAAGGATTCTATGTGAAAGGCGTTGCTTTTTCATATATTTCTATTGTAAGAGCACTTACCATAGTAGTCCGTCATATCTATGGGTACAAGTTGGATGAGCCTATAGCTCTTGATCAGCTCATGCGTAAACTGCTGCGTTAAGTAGAATAGCAAGGTCAGGTGCAGCTTTTCGCTGGGGCAGCCCAGACAATGGCGGGGCTGGGGCGTGATCACTTGGGCCATATGCTTGCAAGCGTCCACACAACTGCGACGTAGCTTTCGTATTTTTTCCCGTAGCTCCGGACAGTCCTTGGATTGACCAACATAGATTAGCAGCTCCCGGAACTGCGCCACAAAGCAGTTGATTTCAGTGATGAGCTGGGCAGGATTAGTGGCTAGAATTATAGCGGTCGCTCACTGAAAGCTTTAAAGGAACTAACCTTTTGAGGATCCCTTGACGGCAGCAGTAAATGCGGTAAGTAGATGGACAAGCGATGAGCTATAATTGTCGAGTTCCGTATCGCCAGTGCCGTACTGCTCGTTACGGCGTGTTTGTCGGCACTTGGGACCACGTTGGTCATGGCGTGCGGATGCTGCAATGGCAACTGTTTTGATACCTGCAGTGGGTCAATCTTTTTATACCAATGAGCTTGAAATTTGTGCTGCACTCAAAAGCATGCTAGAAAAGGCCAAGAGTGTGACAGACACTGCTTGTGTGGGCGCATGTGGAAGGGAGTGGAAGGGGTGGTTGGTGCATGTTTGCGGCTGCGTTATACAAGCAAATTGGGGTGCCTAGTTGGACTGCCTGCCTCATTACCTTGTGTCAACAAGCCATAGCAGCTTAACAACAACAAATGGGCCACGTAATAAAACGGTTAACAGCCACTGCCACCGCCCCACCCCAGCCCCAGCCAAAAGTAACCTGACCATATCCTCATAAACAAACAAAGATGCACATCAGATGCAAACGAGCATAACATTACAGATGTATGTGAACAGATTGTATTATTTCTCACCCAGTCATACTGTACTGAACTGAACATTAGACATGACCCTAAACTAAATCCAAGTCAGCTGTGCTTGCATACAGACGTGTTTCTCTATCGCTGCGCCAAAACTCATAATTTGTCAATTTATTTACAACATCTTACGTACACAGTGCTAATAATCGCGAGAAGTTCAATTTCGTTCTTCATAGAAACTGCTAGTGATCAAATAAATTAAAGGAATCTTTAATAAAATCACTAATTATAAAAGTACTTTTGAAGCGCGAAAACTATACAAACACATATATCAATACCAACACCGAGGCACTGAGTTATTAACATATCTGCATATTTGCATCAGCGCTCAACAAAGCACTCAACAATCACTCATCAGCGCTCAACAAATAACTCAATAAAACATAAACGAAAAAACTTACACTGAATATCATGGCACCGCAACCCAACAAACGCGCACGAGAAAACACAGTCACTGACCTTAAGGAGGGCCGCCAGTCAGAGGCTATATCGTCTAAAATTATGGCGTTGATAAGTCTCCGTTTTGAGGAACAGGCCAGCCTCATCACTGCCAATATGGGAGATGCTGAGCAGCGCATCCTAAACGTTCTGCTGGAGCGTTTCGACCGTATGGCTGAGGAAATGAAGCAACTACATGAGAGGGTGGATCAGCTTCATGAGAGGGTGAATACCATGGAGCGCGAGGTCGGTGAGCTGTCTTCATTGAGGGAGCGGGTTGGAGTGCTGGAGGCAAAGCTTGCTGCGCAGCTCAATGTCAATGCTGCCTGTGACCTGCGCATACATGGGGTCCCACACATGGAGGGCGAAAATGTACGTACCTTATACCACTCCCTCTGTTTCGCCTTAAACATTACACCACCGCCTAGGATACGGGAAATTTTTCGTCCAAGAAATAAACAGGTTTCGAATGTTGATCCCGACATAATTATTAAATTTGAAAATTTATATGAAAAAACCACGTTGCTGAAGGCAGCCGCAGCCTACCGTCGGCAAAGCAACAAAACACTAAGCTTGCAAATGCTGGGCTTTGATTCTCTAGCCCCCATATACATCAATGAGCAGCTTACAAGAGAAAGCTATATAATCTTTAAAGAGGCGATAAAGCTTAAAAAACAGAAACGTTTTGTTGCTGTGTTCTCACGCAGAGGCATAGTGCACGTGAAGCTTAGGGAGAACGAGAGTGCGCAGCCCATACAAAGCAGGGACGAGCTTTTACAGCTCGCTCATTATAATGAGCGTGGATTTCGCTCTCCCACTGCCTGAATTTCTGCCCTGTAAACATATGCTAGCTTTTAACAATAATATAAGCTTTAGGTCTAATTCTTGGATAAATAATTTTTTCATTATTCGTTTTCTTGTAAATGTAAATGTAATAATAGTGTGCAGATCATCTGTAAGTGCTCTTGATCTCTGTATAATGCGTGGGCGTTTGATTGTTTTTTGGACTCCATGCAAGATAACTTAAGATATGCTTCCACAGCGAACAGTCATTCCATTATTCGGGTTCTATGTAAGCAAAAGAAGGGTCTTCATATTTGTCACCTCAACGCACAAAGTCTAGTGAATAAAATGGACGAGTTTAGATCTTTGTTTGTCAATTCTAATGTAGATGTAGTGTGTGTGTCTGAAACGTGGTTTGTCTCTAGTCTTAATGATCAATATGTATGTTGTAATGGGTATAATGTCTATCGTTCTGACCGTGAGGGGCATGCGGGGGGTGTGGCCATATATGTTAAAAATAGTCTTAAATGCCAGGTGATTAGCAACCAGCCATTGGGCAGCAATCTGGAATATTTGTTTCTGCAAATATCAGGCCGCAAAAATATTGAAAGCATCCTTGTCGGATGTACGTATAGACCTAACAGACACACTGACTACAGAGACTTTCTGGATACCTTTTCCGCAGTGTCTATAAAATATAACAATATTGTCCTGGCTGGAGATTTTAACAGCAATATGCTAATCGAGCACCACCTAAAAGATGACATGATCGGTTTGGGCATGAGACTGGTAAATACTGTCTTACCTACACATTTCTCCAACACCTGTAATACCCTCCTTGACGTATTCTTTGTTAATGACACTAATAAAGCGATTCTTTTTGACCAGCTCTCAGCACCAGCTTTCTCAAAACATGACATGATCTTTTTGACGTATGATATCTACCTAGATCAAAATAATCATACAATCACTTATAGGGACTTTAGGAATATTGACATTAGGCTACTCTTTGATTACTGCGATACCATAATCTTTGACGAGATATATACAAAACCCACAGTAGACGAGCAGCTTGAACTTTTTAATGAACACTTTCAGCACCTTTATAATAGTTTTGTGCCGCTGCGACTAAAAGTAATTAAGCCTGTTAAAAACGAATGGTTTAGTAGAGAAATTGGTTATGCAATAATACGACGAGATCATGCTTTCAATAAGTGGAAACGCTATAAGACCACGGCTCACCTTTTGCATTATAGGAAACTCAGAAAAATAGTTGGGCTGAAAATCATAAATGCTAAGCGTGCCCATTACTCAGCCAAATTTACATCAGCCCTGTCATCAAGTCAGGTTTGGTCGGAAATAAAAAAGGTAGGGATTGGAAAATCCCTACCCTCCGTAAACCTTGACGTAGATGTCGATGAGCTTAACAATAAGTTTGTAGATTTAGCAGTACCTGAAGTTCTCGAAAATGCGTATGCGAACCATACTTCGCTACTAAACTGTGATATTAGTTTTAGTTTTATGTGTGTACGTGAATGTGATGTTTTAGATGCTATCCTCAAGGTAAAGTCCAATGCGGTTGGTCTCGATGAAATTCATCCTAAATTTTTAAAATTGCTACTCCCCAAACTTTTAACGCATATAACATATATCTTTAACTCAGTGTTTACAACCTCGTGCTTTCCGTATAAATGGAAATTCGGGAAAATAATGCCAATACCTAAGGGAGGCAATGATTTTCGGCCTATTTCCATACTACCGTTCCTCTCAAAAGCATTTGAACACCTGATGACAAACCAAATTACTAACTTCATGGTAACAAACTCACTATTAAGCGACAAACAATCGGGCTTCAGGAAAAATAGAAGTTGTATAACTTCAATATTAAAAATTACAGAGGACATTCGTGAGCAAATGGACAACAGTATGGTAACTTTTTTGACCCTTCTTGACTACTCAAAAGCTTTTGACACGGTAAATCATACCATACTCTGCACCAAACTTGAAAGACTCTATAACTTCTCTGACTCCGCTATACATCTAGTCCAATCATACCTGTCCTGTCGCCATCAAGCAGTCGTCACCTCGTGTAGTGTTTCGTCTTTTCTGTTAATAAAACGTGGAGTCCCACAGGGTTCAGTGCTAGGGCCCCTGCTATTTTCTATTTATGTTAATGACCTTCCATGTTCTGTGTCAAACTGCGATATTCACTTGTATGCAGATGATGTTCAGTTGTATGTTAGTCGTCCGTTAGATAGATTAAAAGAATGTGTACGTGCTTGTAATGACGATCTGTTGAAAATCAGTGAATGGGCGAGAATAAATGGTCTGGAAGTCAATCCGGAAAAATCTAAATGCCTGGTAATTTATAAAAAGAAAATTAACTTACTTAATCTAGAGAAATTACAACTGAAAGACAAACATATTGAATACGTAAGGCAGGCAAAAAATTTAGGGATAATCATTAATGAGACACTATCATGGCACAATCATGTTAATAATGCTGTAGGAAGAACGTATAGTGCACTTAGGTTTCTCTCTTTGACGCAGAATTTCCTCCCAGCCAAACTCAAGCTACTTATTGCTAAGACATACTTGATACCCTCACTATTTTATGGAGTAGAATTATTCGGAAACTGCGACGCCGTAAGCCAGAACAAACTAAAAGTAGCCTTTAACAGCATTGCACGTTATGTCTTTAATATTAAAAGAAGAGAATCCATAACGGAATACGCAAAACTAATTTTTAACTTGACTCTTAACTCCTGGATTAAACTTAGGACCCTAATTTTTATACACAGAACCATTACTCGAAAAGAGCCGAATTATTTGTATGACAAAATTTCATTTACCTCTTCAAGAAGAACAAATAATATAGTCTGCATAAGATATAGATTATCTTGTTCCGAAAAACACTTTTTTATATTTGCTGTTCGTCTGTGGAACGAGTTACCGCATGGCTTAAAAACAATCAGCAATGAAACGCATTTTAGAAATAGAATTCACGCGCACTATCAAGAAAATACCTAAATGAAATAAAGTAAGAGCACAATATTAATACATTTACACTTAGTAGGCAACATTTTTGGTCAGATTATAAAATAATAATAATATTAATAATACGAACCAAATACACTTTAAATTTATGTATAATTAAAATGTATCTAATATAAATAGGTTAAGTACTTGAATTTTAATAATATCTAAGGAAATTTAATTAATGTGACTAGTGCATTAATTTATAAGAATCATTCTTGTAGCACTAGGAATAAATAAATAAATAAATAAAAATAAATAAAATAAACTAAGTACATAGTTAAATACAGAACACGAAACCCCACAACATACATTGTATCTTTGTGCCTATTAACTGCTAGAATATTAATAATTACTTTAGCAGAAAAAGTGCAGCTCAACTTTATGATTAAATATCATTCATATGAAATCAGCTTAAGTCAAACTCTAGAAGATATATGTATGTACATATAACAAGAATTAATTAACTGCTGTAGTGTGCATACATAAGGAGTACACACTGTACGCAGTGCACTCTTAAGAACATACACTGTAACACTTTATTGCAGTGAATAAATTAATTCAAAAAGCCAAGCATAATTCGGACGCGATGTAATATGATCGCACATGCATTGGGCGACATAAGTGCAGCGTCAGTGCAACTAGTGTCAGCCACCTCAAGTGCACATAACATTCTCCCTCGCGCTCTCGCTGCCAACAGCGCTGAGTACAAATACATAAGTAAAATACATAATGCGGCCGCTCCGCTGCCGGCGTCTCTGGCAGCGCAGCTACGAGGCCTTAGCTAAGTTCATTTTAAGTAAAATGTAAGAAATCAGTATAAGTTCAAGTTTTAAGATTGAGTGTCATAAAAGTTAATAAATAATTAATAAAAACTCATAATAAAAAGTACGTATGTTATTACATGGCGACCGTGACAGTGTCCTACATAGGACCGTGATAGTGGTCCTGGAGGACCAAGGACAGAGGAGCTGATATACCATAAAAACGACCATAATAACGGCAGGAGGACAACTTTAAAATTCGGAAGACGGAGCTTGGCATGGACATCAACACAATAAAAATACTGAGTGAGTAGAGTGCGCGAGTGATGGGTAAACGCGGAGGTGTGCACAATAAAATTAATAAGAGAATAGCACATTTAAAGTGGCTTTTATTCTCAACTGCAACACCACCCGCGTGGACAACGGCCCAAAAATTGCAGGCAGAACTTGACTATTTAAAGTCAATAAGCAAAAATGCGAAACCCGACTCCGCAACTCGCTCCACTCGTATTGAAAATATAAATAAACGTGAAATAATTTTACCGCCTTCACCCAAGCAACTGCCAAGGAACGCAAAAAGCTGCCCAACGGACTGCGAGGGACCATTGCACACCCCACACTGCGAGTACACGTGCCGCCACTGCACGATACGCAATTAGGAGCAGTAAGTGTGAAAGGCATAGGACCGCCTTTTGCACCACCGCTGGAAAAACGCCGACGACAACTGTAAGTGCGGGAGGCAGGCCGCCCCTTGCACCAACGAGGGAGCATCAGCGTGCCACACCGGCGACGCCCAGCTGATGCGGGAATACACCACATCAAATAGCGACAAGTGCGGGAGGCAAACCACCACCAGCGACAACGAGGGAGCATCAGCGTGCCACACCGGCGACGTCCAGCTGATGCGGACGCCACAAGACGACAATCCCAAAAAGGGACACCAGAGGAAAATTTAATGATTAAGCAAAGATAAAAACTTAT